TCTTGTAAACGGCAGATTAGGGATTCCTGCTGCAGGAAATCGCAAGTTCCTGATGCAGGAATACCAAATTGTACCTAAAAATTTAGGTGTGAACCATGCACTGGTCACATTTCGGCCAAGTACTGCTGACTCAGCTGCTATTTGACCAGAGTGTGGCTCAGTCGCCACCAATCCATTTAACAAACGCTGATTTTATTCAATCAAACCTGAACAACATATGGCCAGCCTAGTAGTCAATGTAACCGACACATACTGGCACTGCTAGAATTGGTCTGGATATCTAAAGCTGGCCATACACCTATAGATTTGTTTTCTATCAGCCTGTTGTCAGATGGAAAAGTGCAACAGATTCCTCCATCTATGCTAAACTGTGTGGATGGAGGAATCTCCCACTAGGCCAAGCTTCAGTTTCTTGCTAGTCGGCCCCGCTGGTTCTCAAAATACCTGAACAATCTGATTGGATGTAGGCATTGTTCAGGTATTTGGAGAGCCAGCAGGGACGACTAGCAAGAAACTGAAGCTTGGCCTCGTGGGAGATTCCTCCATCCACACAGCTTAGCGTAGATGGATCTGTGGCACTTTTTCCATCTGACCATAGAAAATCTGCAGATAATCTATAGGTGTATGGCCAGCTTTAGGTTTCGTGACCAGTGGCTGCAAAAGGGTTAAGCCTGGATTTTAATTATAGTAATAAACCAGAGTTGGACAAATCCCAGGAATCAGGTCACCAATGCTCCCTAAAAATTACAGCCGCCGCCTAAATTTTGAGGCTCTCCCTAGTTGTCATCAAAGGAACTGGATCCTTCAAAAATATAATAATAATAATCTTGGATTGGACAGACTGGCTCCTGAATTCCATAATAATTTGCCCACCTCTGATTTATACACATTGTATCGCAATTTGCTGCTCTTTTCTGCGCTAAAAACGCAGCATAACAAAAGCTAAAAAAACATTTTAAAAAAAAAGTGTTTTTAGAATGCTACAAGGTGATACACAGCTATAGAAAAATATAATAGAGATATTACATGGCCATCATTCTGGGTCACAGAGGAATGAAAAGATTGCAGCTTCCCTTTTCAGACACGCAGAAGTAACAATGTGTCCATCGTACATGTCAATAAGCGTCAGGAGAAATCACTCGCACATACCATAGTAACCATACATTCATGGACACCTTTGCATGCCTACAATTTCTCCTATAGTCGTGCACACGTCAGAGAGAGCTGCAATACATTTCCAGAACACTCATCTAAGCCCCCATTCACGCTAGTGTCGTGCGTGAAAAATCCTGCGATTTTGTGTGTGTTCATGAAATGTGCAAAACATCATGTCACACTTGCGGTGCCATTCATTGTTAACGACACCCAAAATGTGCCAAGCAAGATGCACATACAGGTGAAACTCGAATAATTAGAATATTGTGCAAAAGTAATTGCAGTAAATGCTGCAAAAGGGGCCCAAACCAAGTACTGAGTACATATGCATGCTTGTACTTTTCAGAGGTCCGATATTGTTCTATGTACAATCCTCGTTTTATTGATTGCATGTAATCAATATGGATTTGGGGTTCTTGGGGTTTTCATGAGCTGTAAGCCATAATCATCACAATTATGACAAATCACGGCTTGAATTATCTTGCTTTGCATGTAATGAGTCTCTCTCATATATTAGTTTCACCTTTTAAGTTGCATTAGTGAAATAAATGAACTTTGCACGATATTCTAATTATTCCAGTTTCACCTGTAGGTGCACAACAGATGCACAAATTTCAAAAAGGTCCATGAGCTTCTTTGCCACATTGGTTGCACATAGGGTGGCACATTAAAATGAATGGGTCACCCTATGCATCACAAACACGCATATACCTGATGCGCAGTGTCGCACTTTACAAGTGACTGGGGGCCAACTAACACAGTATTCAGAAAATTGACCCATTTGACAACGGATAAATCAAGCTGTATGATGATTAAAGCAGAACTCCAGGCAAAACTGTTCTTACCCCTGGCAGTGGTGCTACCCCTGTGGTTACCCCCATCCTACCCCCCACATTGCAAGAGTTAAAAAGGAAAACTATGGGGTTAAGGCTTTTCCCCATAGTTCTCCTTAGGGTAACGGGAGGACACAAACTAGCGTCCTCCCGTCACCCTAAGCTCAGTATACTGCTGCTGCTCGGGGTATACTGAGACGCCGCAGCTGAAGCGGATCGCGACAGTTATGTCTGGATCCGCACAGCTGCGTGATTGACAGCTGGCTCTGCCTATCTAGAGGCAGAGCCAGCTGTACCCGCCCCCTCCCCCGTCCAATCCGCCAGTCAGCGCTGGTGGATCGGAGCAGGGGAATCCAGCCCCTCCCCTGTCACGGCAGAGAGCCGTGACTGGATCGAGAGGTGAGCGAACGCCGGTATGCGTTCGCTCACCTCCCGATCTACTGAGCCGACCTGTGACAGTCTCATTGTCACAGGTCAGCTAGAACTATGACGTGAGTGAAAAGCACTCCTCATAGTTCTCCTTTAAGTGCTCAACAAAAAAAGTTATACTCACACGATCCTTAGAGACGGCTTGCTCTTAGACCAGTCCTTCCAGCCTCTTTTCCCCTCCGCTGCAGCAGTCTAAGGTCCCTGAGTCATCATGTTGTATACAGTGTGTATAGGACATAAGGATGCCGAAGGACATACCATCACGACAGCGGAGGAGACAGGTTGAAGGGAGCACTGTGACAGCTAACTGGCTCACCGATTTGGGAGAGTATACATTTTTTATTTAACACCTAGACAAAAATGATCACTTACGCAATAAATGCGTGGGATTTGTGTGTTTAGTGCATGCTATAACGGAGCAGGCAGTACCACACACTATGCACAATGCTGTGTTGCGCTGCTATTGGTTCTCAATGGCACTACAATGTACCTCCCGCTGTGTTTGCATTGCAGCGCAACACTTGGCAGCGCAATAATGCGAGTGGTATTGCCGTGTAGTGGAAAAACGGGCCGGACTTGTCCACTCCTGATTTTTTTTTTTAACGTCCCTGAAAGCAGCTCCAGATTACAGATCTAAATACTACAATACTATGAGCGTGGACACATTGGCTATTATAGAAAGAAAGAAAAAAAAAAGCCATACAGATCTAAAAAGGGCATCTTGGCAGTCCATGTGCATGAGGCCTAATTGTTATGATCGCCAAGGTAACCGGGAATGAGAGTGAAGGTGAATCCAAAACTTCTCATCTTCCCATAAAGATACTTGACAGAGGAAATTTCCCTTATATTGGAAAGATATCCTCTCACTTCCTGTTGAGTCTGCTACAGGACAGGAAATGATGGCAAATCTACTTAATGGAACACAGATGGCAAAAAAAACATTAGAGTGGTTTTAACCCTTCCCTGCTCTATCCAAAAACAAACAAGTTTTGTTTTTAGATGTACTCTAAATATTCCCCAATGTATCCACAACGAAACAGATTTTTGGCTTTGAAGGCTTTATTCACACCTGAGCGGCTGTCCGCGTGTATTTGGCTGTACGGACACACAAGGACCCCCTCTACACAGGGAATTCAATGCACTTCAATGTGCATCGTTCAGACCATTGCGGGGGCTGCACGGTTCCGAAATAGTCCAAGTACGATAATCCGGCAAATTCTGCATGTTCGCGGCTATAATAAAAATATTAGCGTTTTTGGGCAGCATGGTCTTCCGCACGGAAAACCGTGCGGGAGCCGCAAATGCTATGTGTGAATGCAGCCATAGGCTCCATTCACACAGGAGCGGTTGTCCGTGCATATTCGACCAGACGAATACGCACGGAGCCGCTCTAAACAGAACAAACAATGCACTTTAATGTGCATTGTTCAGACTTTTGAGGCAGCCCACAAAATAGTCCAAGCGCGATTTCTTGATGGATGCCGCACGTTTGCCACTTTATTATATAGCCACAAACTAGCTAAATTCGTGCGGATGAAAGATTTTAGCGTTCATGTTGCCGTGCGGTGTTCCGCTCAGAAAACGCAAACGCAATATATGAATGGAGCCTTGGCCCTTTTTCACACTTCAGCATTTTCAGGTGGTTTGAATTTTTGGTGTGTTTTTCAGGTGCTCGTATTGAGCTTCTCCTTAAAAACAAGCTCCTGTCCTTTTCTGAGCATCAAACAACAGGTAACACAACGCTGCGGTGTGAAGGGGCACCACTGAAACTAGAAGGGATCTTCACACTGAGCCAGAGGTGGAAAAATCAATATGGAATTCAGGAGCCAGTCTGTCCAATGCTGAACGAACCGGGCTCAAACATTCAGTCCCTAGTCACACCTAGGTACACTGGGAACGTGCATTGCCTTTGGCGCATTTTGTTCCTGCGCGTCCCCGTTGCTTTCAATGGGTTCCTGCACGTGCAACAAACATGGAAAAATAGTGCATGTAGCTAAATCTGTGGGGTGTCCTCTGCGTTTGTACGTGCTTAACCTGCATTCACACCTAGGCGTCAGCGGGTGTTTTCAGCTAGCATATTTTTGCACATTTTTTACGCGTGCCTAACGCCCATCTTAGCTGGCAGAGAAAGACATTGTGGTAAATGGACAATGCGCGTAAAATGCACAAAAGATGCACACAGGAACATGCAAAACGATTGTGTTGCACGTTTTACAGACACTTCCATTGAAGTCTATGGGGCCAAAAGCGTTGCAAACTGACTCAAAGAAGCTCAGGAACTTTTTGCAGCAACAGGTGCTTTGCAGCTTGTGAAAAAAAAAACACTCAGGTGTAATTAGGGGCCATTGCGATTAATGGGAATTTGTGTACTGAGCATTTTGTCACTTGAAAAAACGCCTAGGTGTGAATGGGGGGAGGGGAACCATGCCTTTGCCTGGCCGCATTAAGGGGATTGGCACAGCAAGTGCGTTTTAATTTCTTTAACATATTTTGTGAACGCACGCCAAAGCGCGCATTTTTTGTGCCCGTTCGCAGAACGCTCAGGTGTGAATGAGGACTTGGCATATATGTCATCTCTCCTACCTTGCTGGTATTCCTAGTGATCTTGCCAAAGGAGTTAGGGATGACCAGGAGGATGGGCACTGTAGAGTTGCTGGATGTCCTCCTCCTCCTCTGATGGTGTCCAGGCTTTACAGCCCAATCCAGAGCAACCAAGCCATCATCAGGCAACTGCAGGTACTCCCTGACAAAGTGCACCCCTTTATCCACGGGTCCCAGCAAGGACACCATGGTCTGCAGGCTGGGGAAAGTCCTCCACGGCCAGGAGACATTGGAAAAGCCGCAAAAAGTCCGGCACTGTCTCAGCAGGTAGTTGGCCAGAGCAGAAGGCTTACAGATCAGCTTGTAGTCCTCCCGCTGCTCCTCCTCGTCTACGGGCTTTGCGGAGGCAGCTGCCGGGAAATGAAGACTGAATCGCTTTTTATAGGACCACAAGACCAAGAGGAAGAGAGAGAAGAGAGTAGTGCCTACAGAGGCAGCCCATTCTAGCATTGCAGAGGGAGGCACAGCTCAGCTGGGACAGCAAGCGGGGCTCGGTGTGTGCTGACACCACTCGATCTGTGCTGCCAGTGCAGGTGCTGCTCCCGGGACTCGATCTGTGCTACCAGGATGTCAGTGCAGGTTCTGCCACCAGGAATTGATCTGTGCTGCCAGGATGTGACATGTGCTGTCAGTGCAGGTGCTGCTCCCGGGACTCGATCTGTGCTGCCAGGATGTCAGTGCAGGCGCTGCTCCCGGGACTCGATCTGTGCTGCCAGGATGTGATATGTGCTGTCAGTGCAGGTGCTGCTCCCGGGGCTCGGTCTGTGCTGCCAGGATTGTGTTGCGTGCTGTCAGTGCAGGCGCCGGGACTCGATCCGTGCTGTCAGTGCAAGTGCCGCTGTCACATGTCGGAGGAGCTCGGTGTACAGGCGGCTCAGGCAATGCTGTGTGTGTGCTCTGATCAGTGGGCGGCGGTGTCTTCACAGCCTATTATTGTGGTCACTCCCCGGTGCTGGAGAGGAAGATAAACACACAAGAGTGCAAACATGCACAGAGCGCAGACATGGCATCAGATGACAAGACTTTAGGCAGAGTCCAACTTCTACAAACAATCAGAAATGCACACATCTTCAGAAAAGAAAACATGTGCATCTGTTACTTTTTTTGTATTGGAACCAGTAAAGCATTGCAAGTGCAATCAGTGGTTTGTGGGTGCAACGTGCTGGTTCCTGCAGACTGTCACATTATTGGAGTTTACATGCACTTTAAAGTGGTATTAAAATCAAAATATTTTTAAGCCATTTCAGATGCTGATGAAATCACACCAACACATATGTTGGATGCAGAAGATTTTTCAGCCAGTGAAGTATTGCAAAACAGAGGAGATGGGCGGCACAGGTGGCGGCAGTATTAATACTTTTCTTTGCATGGAATCCTTTTTTAAATGTTTGGAACTAGTAACAGCCTGCCATCCGGCCAGTATAGTTATATGTCCTTTCCTGCTCCCGTTTGCACCCCCTTCGTCGCAAGCAGCGTATGTGTGGTGCGTGAGTGTGTGCAGACCCCAGCCGTCGTCTATCCCGGGCTCTACTGTCCTCCGTGCGGGCCCAGGACTGACACAGCAGGTCTCTGCATTGAGATCGGAGGGAGATCAGCACACTTCCACCTCTTGACTTCCTTTAGGCCCCATTCACACTGAGCGACATGATTATTGCGTGTTTTTCCACGCGATTTTGTGCTGAACGGCTTTGAGGTACATTGCACGATATTGAGCGACAATGCACATTTTATCGCGCTACATAGCAGGTTTTTTGGGCGGGACTTCACCGCTGCTACATTGGGCTATAACCAATCAACAGCGATCTTGATGTGACATAATTCTTTCCTTCCATTTTGCAGTGCAAAAGTGACCCTTCTGTAGCGCAATATCGCGCTACGAAGTCGCGCAATATCGCCAGTAATGCGCGATTTTGCGTGACACTATAGAGTCTATTGGAGCCAAATCGCGTGACATCCGCGCAAAAAAGGGTCATGTACGAGCGACAGGCTACAGCGACGAGCTACAGGTGACATTGAGCTGTGAGATGTGAACAGCTCCATTGAAATGCATTGGACAAGCTACAAAGAGCGATATTGCGCAGAAATATGTGCGATTTCGCAGCAGAAATCGCGCAATAAACCGCTCAGTGTGAATGGGGTGTTAGATCACTGAATCACTTCCACTTTCAGCCTGTCATTTCTCTGGCTGCTGCAGCCGGAGAAGAAGCTTGTGAAGCAGGTCTGTGCTTCATCAATCTCTAATAGACACTTGATGTCTCCATAAAGAGGACCTGTCACTGTGTCTGTGCTATCACATAGGGAGCTTGTTGTCCCCATATGTGAGAGCGATAAAGTGCAATTGTAAAAAAGTGTTAAAAAAAGTCACAAACAAAAACACAAAAAAAATGTCAAATACAAATATGCATCGGGTGCGCCTACATATAAAAACGACAACTGCGCCACATATGTTACATAGCACCTCAAACGTCGGAGTGTAAGTAATATTTCTAGGGCCATTAATCACTGTTAACACTAAATTGATGAGCAGTAAAAGCTTTTAAAGCATCACCTATGGCCAATTTTATGTATGATAGTATTTTTTCAATTTCGCAGGCACCCACAATTTGAAGGCTTGACATGTTTGGGGTCTATTCACCCGACGTGACCCCTTATTTTATATTTTACCAAAAAAATAATTCATAATATAAGGAAAAACTGTTTGTTTTTCCCCCAAAAATATTCAGTACTTTTTTCTTTATATTGTAAAAAATAAAAACCCCAGTGATGATTAATTACCACCAAAAGGAAGCTCTATCTGTTCCCAAAAAATAATATAAAATTCACTTTGGTACGGCTTTACGTGACGGAATAAATGTCAGTCAAAGTACCTCAGCGCTGAATTCTGAAAAACGGCTTGGACAGGAAGAGGGGTTTAAAAACCCGGTCAGCAAGTGGTTTATGTGACTCTAAACTGCAGGGGGAGCATTTGTCTTAAAGGAGAACTATGGGGTTAAGTCTTTTCACCATAGTTCTCCTTAGGGTAACGGGAGGACACAAACTAGCGTCACCCTAGGCTCAGTATACCGCGAGCTGTAGCTAGCGGTATACTGAGACGCCGCAGCTGAAGCGGATCCCGACAATTGTGCCGGGATCCGCCCAGCTGCGTGACTGACAGCTGGCTCTGCCTATCTAGAGGCAGAGCCAGCTGTACCCGCCCCCACCCCCGTCCGATCCACCAGTCAGCGCTGGTGGATCGGAGCGGGGAGGGGGGAATCAAGCCCCTCCCCTGTTACGACAGAGAACCGTGACAGGATCGAGAGATGAGCGAACGCCGGTATGTGTTCACTCACCTCCCGATCTACTGAGCCGACCTGTGACAGTCTCATTGTCACAGGTCCGCTAGAACTATGAGGTGAGTGAAAAGCACTCACCTCATAGTTCTCCTTTAAAGCGAACCTTTATCCCTTCACTCAAAACACCAAAATACGCGGCACACGCAGCACTGCATGCCCATCCAGAAATGTCATAAAGTCTTGTCACAAACAAAATATTTTTGGTAAACTTACATTTTATTTTGTACTTCCTGGTTTTCATGAGGCACTGGTGACATAGCCCTGGCCTCACAGGCTCACTCTGAGAAGGCTACATCACCAGTTCCTTCCAGGGAGATCTCATCTGTTCTCATGCATGTGCCATACAGTGATCTGGGGTGGCATGTTATTGACCAGGGTGGGCAACTCTGGCCCTCCAGCTGTCGTGGAAGTACAAGTCCCATGATAAATTGCAAGACTCGGACAGCCACAGGCATGACTCCCAGAGGTAGAGGGATAATGGGATTTGTGGTTAAAGTACAGCTGAAGGGCCGAGGTTGCCCACCCCTGTTGTAGACACGAGCGTCAGATCTGGTATGGCCAGGGCCGGATTTTCTCGCCCTGCCGCCCCAAGGCCAGGTTCCGCATTACACCTCCAATACAGGAGCTCCAGCACAGTACTGTGCTGGAAGTCCTGTGACTGGTGAGAGGGGAAGAGCACAGCTCTCCCCTCTCTCTGTGTACACGGAGCGGCAGGGTTAGTTTTAACCCTGCCGATCGGCGGCAGGGACAGGAGAGAGATTCGGCGGCCGGGGGAGTACGGAGTCCATACATATTACAAGTGATCGCGGCGACATCGCCGCAATCACTTGTAAACGAACGGCCGGATTCCCCACTTACCGCCCGGAGCCCGGAACTACATGTTCCGGGCGTCAGGGGGATTCCACGGCGCTGCTGTCCCTCTGCTACGTGCCGCCCCGAGGCCGGGCCTCGGTGGCCTGGGTATGGTGCATGTTCAAGATCAGCCATGATGACATCAGTGGGCTGGCAGATAGCAAGGTGGAAGAAGTTGCCTCTGGAAAGGTAGACTGTTCATTCTTATCCATCCTGCCGCCTGTTCCTCAATTCTTCACTCTCTTGCAGGTCTTCCTGTTGCAAGCTATGGTTCCTTCTGCTAGCCCCTTCATCAGTACTATGCCCTGTAGTGACATATTGACCAGCGGAATTAACCACACTGTGTGGCAGAAGACCTGAAGTCCAAAAGATATGAAAATGTGTTGGATGCTGAAAATGATCCTGGCGGCTTTTTGTTTCTTTTACTGTTCATAAAGGCAATAGAGTTACTTTAACCCCTTGCCGCCCACCCCCTTAAACTATACAAAGGGACATGGAGATGGGCCCCAATCATGTGATCTCTGATACAGCCACACATGATCAGGAGCCTGTCCCCAGTTCCCGGTCCTAAACAGTGACCGGGAGCTGTTGGTGACAGCTCTATCACTGGGCCAAGAACGTGCACTTCACCCACAAAACTGTGGATGAATATATGTAGCAGGCAGGAATTAAATCACTCCTTCTAGACACTGCATGTATGTGTGTGCTCGTTGCCTTTAAAAAGGCGTGCATATGAAATCAAATTGCTAAATGTCAATAATCTTATCATTAGGTGTTAATGTTGTTTTATGTATCCTTTTCACCTTCACATGTGGGTGCCAAATCTGTTTATTACATAATCAGGTTTTGCTTCTTGCTGATCCTCTTTTTGCACAGATAATTATTTTTGTCTAAAGACTCTCTGCAATCTCTAAGAAGGGTCAAACAGCCACAAGGCGTCTGTCTAAGCTGTAAATGACATGATGGAGCTTAGTCCCACCTAGGCGGTCCGTGAACTCGTCAAAAACGTGCACTCCAAACCTGGCCGGGAATAACGTGCGCTTTTCCTGCATGTGGATACGGGTTAAAATACACACAAATGCGTGACAAAACAAACAAGCTACCAATGTAGCAGAATCTGCTACATAAGCTACTTTCCCGAGTTTGTTGTGTGTGCTACAACCATTGAAATCAATGGGTGACGCACAGGTGTGAACAGGGTCTTAGTTCCGTGAACATGCACCAAACTTATGTCAAGCATGTGCGTTCACAGAACCTGTAAAAAAT